TGCTAAGATTTATATAGCATAGAGTGCTAAAAGTTCCACAATAACGATCTTCCAATTGTATTTCAGGGATACCTGTCTCAGACGCAGAAGCTGCAAAATCTTCCTTGTTTTCGGATGCATAGCATTGATACTGGAATTCAAGATATTCATTATTATCTGGTTCCTTCAGAAGCATTACATGAACAAGATAGCATGAGAGAACGCTTATTTACCCACGGATCCTGATGATGAATAACAGCTTGGCTTCTGAATCGACATAAAATCCACCCTTAAGCTTTGCTTCACGCTTCAATCTAATCAACTCCTTTTGCTGAACATAAATTACAATAAAGTCAACAATGGACAAAACAAAACTCATGTTAACTGCTGCAACGTAATGCACTTCCTATAAATTTGATCTTAACATACCTGCTCATCATATTCCTTTGCATATTGCATAGCTCTGTTAAAAATAAGTTTTCGTGTTTCAGATCTCTTTTTCTTGGCAGCTTCAAGGTCCTGCTTTTTTACCAGAGCCCATTCCTCGTTTCTCTTCTGCTTTTTCAACACAGACTCGGGAACAACTGCTCCAACTTTAACATCCTCTCCGCCCATCCTTTAGAATAAAAATACCGAAAATTAAATGTACAGACCTGATCAACGATCAGCAATCAGGGCCATCAAACTTAACGAAGAATACATTAGCTATCGAGTTTTCCAAATACTACTACAGGGACTGTTAAACAACACACAAATGCCAGACATTACAATTTCAATCACCAGCTAGGACAAAAAAAAAACATAAAAACCCATATCAAACTATGGCATTTGTTAGAATGGGCATTACAGCTAAAAGATGCCAAACAAGATCATAAATTCACCTATAATACAGCAGAGCCAATTTCAGAACTTACATCAGCTTGTTCATGTTGTCAATATATAATGCCCAACGAAGAATTGGTAAATTAAAAGAAGAAAAAAGTGTGATCAAATTCAGAGAGAGATTACATACTCGAGGTTTCACTGAATAGAAGTTGCGGAGTTGGCGGCAGAACCTAGTGCTTTGTGTTCCCGCAACGGCACAGCTAAAGAGATGAAGCTTTATCCTCAGATCAGATTAGGGTTCTATTTTATCAAGGCAAGAAGATAGACCCATTAAAAATTGGGCCATTGCAGGGCCGAAATAATTTCGACCATTGGGCTTTTGAATAAAAGCCTTTCTAATTGGGCTGGCTTGGGTCCGCCTGTACATAACACACGTTTCTCAGAAATTTGTATTTACAAATTGAAAGAAAACATAACTTTCTATCCCTACATTTTAATTCTGTTGTAAGCCCTTACATTTAGGCCCCATTTGCTATTATTGAATTAGGAAGAAATAAATGAAATCAAAAACAGAATCTTAATGCAAGTGCATTTGGTTGGCAAGAGTTGTGATTTTCATGAAATCCAAACAAAAATAATGGAATTCAATTTTTTCACAAACTTTATAAAAATTGGGGTGAATTCCACGAAATTAATCCCTTCAAACCTCAATACCCTATGCTTCAATGCTCTAATCTAGATGTCGCACACCTCTATCTTTTTGTCACCCTTCTATTGCCCTAGCAACTTGTCCACCACTACTCCCTATCTCCAACAGTCTATGAAAGGCGGCATCATCTTCCTTGTTGTGTGTGACAACCTCCATCACATAGATTGTTGATGGTAATGCCAACAAAAAAGATGATGTTGCTCTAATTTAATGGTGCCAACTTGACACAAGTTAAGGATGAGCATCGGCATTGAAGGAGCTATCACCTTGCATTCTCACCAGTATTAAAAGACCCATGATGTTGCGTTCTCACCAATGATGAAGGACCCATCAAAGAATATGCAATAATTTGAGATTGAAGAAGATGCAACAAGACAGTTGGAGATGAATTTTTTTCTACCCCCGCTTGTGTGAAACTAATTGTCAAGCAATCTACTTATGTTGGCAAGCTTTGAGACCACAACACTAGTGTGGACAAAGGAGAGGATCAGTTGAGGTGATCACCGTCGATGACCATTGGAGAAGTGCATGCATTTCTTGGTGGTGATGGAAGCGTACAAGAATGAGGTACTAGAGGTGGAGATCTACCTAAATGATCTGGTGGCATTGCCGTTCTCTTTCATAATGCCAAGGTTGTTGAAGGTCATGATTTTGACACACAAGAGCTTAACAATGAGCATGGTACAAGTCAAAGGCGAGAGTTTGAACCTGCACTTGAAACCAAAGGACATGTTTCAATGAAGGAGAAGATGAATAATTTTTTTTTCATTTGTACAGATTTTTATTAGTCTTTTTTTTTCAATATTAATTAGTTAATATGTTTCATGTGTGAATTGGATAATACCTATTCAGTGTTGTGCGGTGCTTTTTTCAAAATCATGCTCTGTAGCAAGACAGGTTTTTTATTAAAAAAAGGGACAAGTTTTTCTTTTAAAAAAATTTGACAAAAATATTTAGGTATGTCTGTATTTTAGAGATATATATATATATATATATCAAATAAAAATTATATCAGAATTTTACCGTCATATCAAATATATTTTTAAAATTTAATTTAATTTTAATTTTAATTTTGATTCTGATTCTAATTTTTTTAAAAACTCTTCTGTCATATCAAATGTTTTTTTTTTGTGCTTTAAATTCTATATTTTTGTTTTTTCTTAAGTGTTTTAGGTTTTAGGAGAGACTAAATTATGTTTTCCCTTGTAAATTTATTTATTTGTCAGCCCCGATTGATTATGGTGGAACGGTCGTTGATGATCAAAACAATGAGGCATAGAAGCATAGGAGTTATGGCAGTGACCTATCCAACGGAAACATTTCGTTGAATTTGGAACAGAAGGGTCTTCTTCACCAATCTATAGCTCATTATTTGTATCTCTATGGGTTTTCAAAGACCCTGAAAGAATTTCGTTCCGAAGAGCAAATCGAGGCGGGTTTTGCCCCTCTCGTTGTGAATGTCGGAAGAACTGGCTGAGTTGAACAGATGCTTCGTAAAGTTTAAATTTTCGATTGTATAATAGAGCGGACTAAAAGGTGGCATTTGGGTGTTCAGTAAAATCATACAAGAAAAATAAGGAAGGACGTAAAACATAGGAGCTCTTGAATTGATATTCACTGTTCTAATAGCATGCAGTATATGCTGATATCATGCATAACTCAGCTGCTACCCTGCATTACCTCAAGATATATTATTTGGTCTAACATGCTCAGATATATCTAAGATAACAATACAAATTTGAAAGACGATCATGTTTAAAATGTTCGGTAGGTTTATTGGATCGCCATTCTGTTTGTCTCTTGGTATTTGTTTGATTTTCTACTGAAAGTCATTCGCTTGGTTGAGTAATCGAGACACTACTTTGGATCAACCAAGTTTGCCGGTCATGGATGATGACAACAATTTTTTCACTGTTTCATGCTTGTTTTCATATCATACCACTTAACTTTAAAATCTGCTGGTCGAACATTTGAGTGGAAGGCTCGGTACATTCACATTTATAGCATAGCAGTTCTTATAATCATCACTCGTCATTCATAATATTACCAATATGAACATTCTTGGGGTGTTTTTTAAAGCAAAACAAAAGGGGGTGATGATCTACGCTATGCTCCATGGGCTCGTTTTAAATTTCTGAAGTAAACATGACATTATGAAGGCAAGCATCTTACTCTGAGTCTTTGGTAGTAATGAGATTTTATGCATGGCATATAAGAGCATATAGCGCCTTGTCTCATTTAGGTTAGCAATCTAGAATGTGTGTTTAGTTTTCTTTTATTTATGTTTCGCCCCTTATTATTCAGAGGTAAAAAAGCTTGGTTCTTGTATGTTGTTGCTTCTGTCATCTTATTTTGTTTCTCCTACTTGTGGTACAGAAAGATAATCTAGATGGAACAATAGTTGATCCAGAAGAAATGTGTTTCAACTATTTAAAACTACGGTAGGAGAAGAAAGTTAGCATTTGTTTGTTAAGTAACCATCTGCTCCAACTTGATATTCCCTAGTTATAGATATTACTCGATGCCTTGCCAATTTTTCTGTGCCTGTAATCGTTTTCCCAAAGTTTTTCCTATTTGTTGTGGCTTGCACAAACTAGTTTAAAAATTATTATATCCAAGTAGGCTTGTTTCATGTAAGTAATGTCACCAGTACACGGTAGTGGCACGCATATTGGCCTATGAATACCTGATGTAAATTCTTCTGCAAAGCTCTTGGTTGACTTATGTCTCAATTGCTCCTTATTTTTGGGAAGATAGATGGGCAACTTTATTTAGGGTACCAGAGTAAATCACAACACACAGATTTATCCAATTGATAGCATCGATTTATCTTAGTGGAAATCAGATCAGGATGGAATGCTCACTGATCAGTGATCAGGATGGACGTGGATTAATTATCCTCACATCTTTTTCTCAATTTGTAGGCTCTTGCCTCCGTTTGTAATTCCAAAAAAAAAAAAAATACTGACTGATCCTTGCAAAGATTACTCAAGTGAGAAAACATATTTAAAAGTTTTCTTTAAAAGAATATAAGTTGAAATATCATTTCCTTTAGGCTTGTTGGCTAATGAAATTATTTCTTCTTTTTTAATTGTCAAATTTATTTGACCGGAGAGAATTAAAAACCAGAAAATTAGATAATATGTGCCACTAATTTGTAAGAAAAGTTTTTCCATTATTTTGTTCTGTTTTTTTTAATATCAATGGAGCCTAAATTGCGGTTTGATTATCTTAATTGCTCTGTATCAACTTACTCCATGTGCAGGCTTAGTAGTTATGACGTTTATGATTATTTTAACATTGATGATCGAAATGGGAGTAAATTATGAAATACAGTTACTTGTCTCACTGTACTTTTATTCAAAAGGAGTCGTGATTAACCTAGTAACTGCAAACTTATTGTTTATCCCATGATTTGACTTTCATGCTCTAGTCAGTGTAGCGAGCCTCTATATATCCGGAATTAAACCCATATAATTGTTGATTGATGGAGAAGCCATATGTGACTTTTAGATTACTTAATCAGTTTTTCCCCAGTGATGGTGAAAACTTGAAGGATATAATCAGCCTGAGAGTTCTAGTTACTCTCATTGATGATTTGCCTACAGCTTCTATGTGCCTATCAGTTCTAGGAGGTTCCTATTTCTCTTTTCCAATTGCTTTCGCACCATTTGGTCTCTTTAAATCTGATATTTGTTACTGATTTTAAAGTTTTATTTGTGATTTAAATATCCGTTAATTGAGCCTTCCCTTTTTGTTTCCCAATTTTTTTCTTTCTCCTTTTGGTAGCAAGGATGTCAAGGAAAATAACAATAATCAAAAGGAGCAAGATATGCTTAAAATCCATGAATATATCGGGTCGTGTTGTGTCATAGCCAATTTCTTCCTCTCTCATTGCTTGGCATGCAATCATCATTCTGTTGCTTCCTAGACACAGTTAATTAGATCATTATACCGGACCTTCTACTTTCTAGCTGCAGGCAAGCACTCCAAGAAAGATGAAGAGGAAAATTTGATAGCTGATTTGGAAAATGAAAGTAAGAAAAGAAAAACTGACTAGAGTGACGATGATGCTGGTGCTCATCAATCGGGAACTCATGAAAGTTCTAGCAGTGGAAACAACTCTGAGGAATTGACAAATGGCTTAGGCCCTGAATCAAAATTAACATCAGAAGAGAAGGTATAGAAATCTAAATTCTGATTCTTTCTGGTAAAGGAGCTGAGAAAATGGCTTGGGCCCTGAATCAAAAGCAACATCTGAAGACAAAGGAGCTTGCTAACAAGACACTTTGTGGATCCTTGTTGCAGGATGATGATAAAAAGTGCAAAGTAAAGAAGAAAAAGAATAGCAAGTCAGCTTCTGAATCTCTTTCTGTCGGAGTGAATGCATCTGCAGTTGCCGAAACTGTCATTTATGAGACGGAGGAGCAATCCAAGGATAAAAAGAAAAAGAAAGATAAATCAAGCAGTGATAGGAATGATAGCCAATTTGAATCACTACCTACAGTGACGACAGTCAAATTAAGGGACAATGCATCTACAAATGCCAAAACTGTCATTGGTGAGACAGGGAAGCGATTCAAGGATAAAAAGAAAAGGAAAGACAAATCAAGCAGTGCTGGGAATATAGAGGGGCTTCAGACTGGAGATCACAATGAAACTGATTCTAACAAGGATAGTTTCGAGACGTCAAATGAAGATGTGACAGGCAAGAAGAAGAAGGATTCTAAAAAGCAAAGAAGACTCACATATGAAGAAATTGATGTGCTGCCTGCAGATGGAAAGATGGATGAGGAACCCGGACGCAGAAAGATAGAAAATTTGAATGATTCCAAGAGAGATCAGAAATCAACGAAGTTGAATGGAAACCTCAAAAGTGATTAAAATTCTGATAAAGCAAATGTCAGGCAAACTATTCAAGGTAGTGATCAGTTACAACAGCCATCTGGTGAACAATTTGATGTGAAGATAAATGGGGGCCTTGAGAATACTGGACAGAAATCTTCCAATCCAGAGGTCTCAGAAGAAACGACAAAAGGGGGTCAGTTGAGGTATTATTATGATTACATTCTCGGTGTGTGCAGAACCAACGCATGAAACACATATGCGGCAGATCAGTACTACATCCTAGTATTACTCCCTTGTAACAGAATTACATTGATGTTTTGCCATTGTTCTCGACTAATGTAATTATCCTGTTTTCAAATGATCACTTCCCTGGGAAAATTTGCTTTATACAGGATGAAATTGGCTTGGTTTAGTGGAGGCTTGGATCTTATAATACCACAGTTCAAATCCCAGAATGGATTTTCGGCCTACTAAAAAAAAAAATTTTCTGGTTTCCCTTCAATTGAAAGTGTCCAGTATCATAAATCCCTACTTGTTCGTACTAATATCTTGAGATATTTTCTTCCTTTATTATAAGTTGTTTCATTTATTCGATTTTTCTTTTCCCCTTACTAGAACACAATGTTATTTCCTAATCTTGATATAAGATATTTCATGTCTTTGCTTTTTCTTTCATAAGAATTTATGATCCCAATAACACTGCTGAAGCTAGATGTTTATTACAATCTTCTTGGCTGTGATAATTTAGTTTCTGTCAAAACCAGGGAACGCATTTCAAAGAGCAAAAGCAGATGAGGTAGTATTTGCTGATGAGAGGCTTCAGGATAACTCTTATTGGGCAAAGGTATGGTAAACTGATACCCTTTCCGCAGTCTGCTATATATCTCAATACAATTATGTGATGATTCATCTCTTAGTATGCAGAAGCAGAAGAAATTCTGGGCCAAGTTAGAGGCAGGTGAGTGTAATGGACGTAAGATACTTGTGAACTGATTCATTCAAACTTGTGAGACTCCTGTTTTGTGCATGTGTTGAAATTCTTGTGTATCAAATCTAGCATTGCAAGATTGCTGCTTCTGTTAACAAACTATAATTTGCTTATGGAGCTTGATGAATTTATGTTCCATGGACAAGTTCAAAGACTATTTTACTGTCTATGTGAATCATGATGATACTTATCAGAGTGAATTGATTAACAGTCACTTAATATGCATGCATGCATCTTTATTCAGTCTGAACTACGTTTATGCCTTCTAATTGACATGCACAGGGACTTTCGTCACTAGAAGACCAAGAAAAAACGTGGCACATACAGAGGAGGACAGATTGATTTACAATCCCACTCAATGAAGTTCAGTTTTTCTGATGATGATGAATGACAGGAAGATCACATGTCACATACACACTTGGCATAGAGATTTTGTTTCACTTTTGCTCTTGGATGAGTTTCACATTGCCTCTACCTGATTGTGTACTGCTCTGAAACAATTCAAGTTACAGTAATACAAGTTTATCTTGCTTGTTTAATTACACTGCAAGAAGATTGTGTAAATGTGTGTGTGTGTGTGTCTGTGTTTTGATAAAGAAAAGGGGGCAGAGCCCAAATACAGAGAAATTAAGAAAATTTAGGGGATTTAAATCCCATACAATTCTTTTGCACTAAGTCCCTCAGAAATGGGGGAGCCGAATTACAAAGAGCTAAATTAGAAATGCCAAATTTTGCTAAGGAGTTTGCTACCATGTTTTATTCACGCAGCTATCTTTGAGTAGGTGCTGAATCTCTAAGAAAGCAAGGCTTACACTATAATGGTGTTCGGAATAATTATTAATTAAATCCACCAAATTTTTTGAGTCAAGTTCAATAATGATTTTCCTGAAACCCAAATCCCATGCCAAACAAAGGCTCTTATAAACAGCTCATTCTTCAGCTTCAAAAGGACTACACTGACCAACAGATGCAGAGAATCCCACTATCCAAGTACCATCGCTATCCATGATCACTCCTCCACAACCAGCCATGTTTGAATTAACAGATACTGCACCGTCAACACTAAATTTAACCCACCCTTGCAGAGGATGTTTCCGTTTATCAATCGAAGTGGCAGCTTCATAAACGTGAGGTGAAGAATTCCCATTCATCACAAAATTGGAACATATTTTGGGGTGTATATATATTTGCATTAACACTGTCAGATCAATCTTCGTGGCCTTTTCTTAGTTTGGGCCTTGGGCTTAGTTATATAGATATTTTTTTGGGGTCAATTGGGGCTTAGTTGTAGATGAAACTAATATGTAGAAATGCCTTCACCTATCTTAGTGCTCTAATCACGTGCACTCGCAAGCATTATGTCATGACAAGCAAAGTATTTTACTATTTTGAATATAAAAAATAAACAAGGTATCACTAATACAGATTAAAAATAAATAAGTATTTTTATTGTTCACCGATGACAATTGTAAAATTTCAAAGTGATAAAGAGACGTGACATAACACAATGAAAGCCATAGGGACGTATTGTCAGATGACTGGGTGCTGTTGTCCCATGGAAGTCAAAAAGCTTGTAACTCAACATTAAAGCCATCGTCCTGAAAATTAATTTGATGTTGATTGCTCATTGGATGAGAAATTTTCGTAACATACTCGTCTCAAGGGTGTAAAATATTTTTAATTAAAATTTA